GCTGATGTGGTATATGCTTGCAGATTGCGAATGTGGTATATGCTTGCAGATTGCATATGCTTGCAGATCGCATATGCTTGCAGATCGCATATGTTTGCACATCGAATGTGGCATGTGCTTGCAGATCGCATCTGGCATATGCTTGCAGATCGCATATGCTTGCAGATCGCATATGCTTGCAGATCGCATATGCTTGCACATCGAATGTGGCATATGCTTGCAGATCGCATATGCTTGCAGATCACATATGATTGCACATCGCATGTGGCATATGCTTGCATATGAAGCATTTGTGCATATGGAACACATGTGCATATGTGCATATGTGCATATGTGCATATGTGCATATGTACATATGTGCATATGTGCATCTGAAGCATACGTGCATATGTGCATATGAAGCATATGAAGCATATGAAGCATATGAAGCATATGAAGCTGCACATCGCATGTGGCATATGCTTGCATATGAAGCATTCGTGCATATGAAACACATGCGCGCATGTGCATATGAAGCATAGGTGCATAGGTGCATACGTGCATATGAAGCGCGTATTAAGCGGGTACGGCATTACTGTAATGTAACAGAAGACTGCATCTGCTTGCAGATTGCATATGCTTGCAGATCGCATAGGCTTGCATATCGCATATGCTTGCACATCGAATGTGGCATATGCTTGCAGATTGCATATGCTTGCAGATCGCAGATGCTTGCAGATCGCAGATGCTTGCAGATCGCATATGTCTGCACATCGAATGTGGCATATGCTTGCAGATCGCATCTGGCATATGCTTGCAGATCGCATATGCTTGCACATCGGATGTGGCATATGCTTGCAGATCGCATCTGGCATATGCTTGCAGATGGCATATGCTTGCAGATCGCATATGCTTGCAGATCGCATATGCTTGCAGATCGCATATGCTTGCACATCGAATGTGGCATATGCTTGCAGATCGTATCTGGCAGATGCTTGCAGATGGCATATGCTTGCAGATCGCATATGCTTGCAGATCGCATATGCTTGCAGATCGCATATGCTTGCAGATCGCATATGCTTGCAGATCGCATATGCTTGCACATCGAATGTGGCATATGCTTGCAGATCGCATCTGGCATATGCTTGCAGATCGCATATGCTTGCACATCGGATGTGGCATATGCTTGCAGATCGCATATGCTTGCACATCGGATGTGGCATATGCTTGCAGATCGCATCTGGCATATGCTTGCAGATCGCATATGCTTGCACATCGGATGTGGCATATGCTTGCAGATCGCATCTGGCATATGCTTGCAGATGGCATATGCTTGCAGATCACATATGCTTGCAGATCGCATATGCTTGCAGATCGCATATGCTTGCAGATCGCATATGCTTGCAGATCGCATATGCTTGCACATCGAATGTGGCATATGCTTGCAGATCGCATCTGGCATATGCTTGCAGATGGCATATGCTTGCAGATCGCATACGCTTGCAGATCGCATATGCTTGCAGATCGCATATGCTTGCAGATCGCATATGCTTGCAGATCACATATGATTGCACAGCGCATGTGGCATACGCTTGCATATGAAGCAATTGTGCATATGAAACACATGTGCATATGTGCATACGAAGCATATGTGCACATGTGCATATGTGCATATGTGCATATGAAGCAAATGTGCAAATGTGCATATGTGCACATGTGCATATGTGCATATGAAGCATATGAAGCATACGAAGAAAAAAAAAGAAAAAAAAGTGC